TTTTTTTTTTTTTTTTTTTTTGTTCTGTTGATTAGGACCGGGAATGGAAAGTGCAGTTTGGTGACCTTCCTGCGTTTCCCTCCCACCCAGCCCTTTCCCTGCATTCCCGGTTTGGTAAGTGCCACGTCAGCAGTGCCACATCAGCAGTGGCACGTCAGCAACAGTGCCACATCAGCAGTGCCACATCAGCAGTGCCACATCAGCAACGGTGCCACTTCAGCAGTGCCACATCAGCAGTGCCACGTCAGCAGTGCCCCGCCACCATGACGGTTTCAGTTTTGAGCATGCCAGGCCAACTGGCCAACGAGTCCATTGCCGAGTACAGACAGTGGTTCCAAGCTCAGCTCGCACTGATCGAGGCTGAGGAACAGCGCCAGGCGGCAGCCGAGGCTGCCCGCCTACAGGCTGAAGCGGAGGCAGCAGCTGAAAAGCAGCGGCTTCAGGCCACAGCTGACGCAGATGCCCAGGCCAGCCGCAAGGAGGCCCAGGATCTGCTGCAGCGGCGCGAAGCTGCCAGCGTCGACAGGCTCAGGTTCTGGCATTTTGAACCATCCGAGGGCCACGACGACGCGACACCGGAAGAGCAGCACAAGGAGTTTCTAACTCTTGACCTGGTTGGTTTACACTTGTAACCACCTGCAGTCCGAGCTAGAGAAACAGGACCAGGAACTGGTGAATCTCCGACGGGCAGTGCGGAACCACAAGGATCTGCACGAGGGTGCTACACGGGCACTTCATACCCGTGTACAGGACTTGGAGCAAGCAGCACCAGGACCAGATGCTGGCGAACCCAGCAATGCAGCCTCAACCCGCCAGTTGGAGCAACGAGTTGATCATGTTCTTGCAATGCTCGGCGACATCAGCGCCTTCGACGCACCGACCTCCATCAACGAGCAGCTTGACACCTTGAAGAACGAAGTTCGGCAACTACACCAGCCGCCCCACAACGATGGCAGCATCAGTGCATCGCGGCAGTACAAGATGCCGACGTTCCGGATTGAGAAGTTTGATGACTGTACGCATCACGACCCGGTCCTGTGGTGGCAGGGCTTTACGGCGGAGCTCTGGATTCATGAGGTCCCCGTTCACTTGTACCTCTCGGCATTGTTCCTCAACGCCAAGGGCGGATGCCAGATCTGGCTCAGCCACATGGCAACCATCCACGGCGTCCAAGTCGCCGACTTGAACAAGAAGATCTCTTGGGAAGATCTGACGAGGGAATGGAAGAAGCGGTTAATAGTTGACGACGGCCCGGCTCTCGCCATCAACCGCCTCTTCGCCATGACTCAAGGCACCACACCGACACGCGACTGGCTCACGGAATGGCAAAAGATCGTGGCAACACCCGATCTCGACTTGCCATTTTCGCATTTGCGCCGAGAGTTCTTCAACCGGTCATGTGCTGCCTTGAGCCTCGCACTCGGTGATCGTGAACAATACACGACCGTTGAGGCTCGTGAGATCATCAAGACCAACCGGGCTGCTGCACACGAGAAATCCGCGTGGCAGCCAGCCTACTTGGAGAAAGGAAAATTTGGTCCGCCTCCGCAGCCCGTCATTGCAGTCCAACCGGACAACCTTGTGGAAGACCCGACAACCACCCCAGCATCACGTGAGGGAGATCAAGTGGCCGCCGTCCAGCCGAGAAGCAACTACAACTCCCGTGGAAAAGGGAAGGCGAAAACAGCATCGCCGACCGGAAATGGACAACCACTACCATGGGTCAAGTTTAGCTTGACGGAGGCCGAATACAAGTACCGCAGCCGACACGGCTGCTGCTATTGGTGCAACATCACCAAGCACAAGACCTCCCAATGCCAAGACCAAGGCAAGGAGGATGTTTGACCTCGAATCATCTCGGGAAACTAAGTTGCACGGGAGGTGAGGTGACTCCACCTCTCACTCCGCCAGATTCGGCCGCCTTGCTTGCAGCCTCCTACACATCTAAGGAGAATGCGGATGTCGCAAGTCCTCGGTTCACTTACGAGGATTATGTTGTCCACTTGGTCCCACCGTTGGACCAGCCACTCCATGTGCAAGACTCCACCGCATGCACAGTTTCATCACCATTGGCAACCGATTGGCAGCTTCACCGCCAACTTTTACCGGGGACTCGACGCCATGGTCAAGACTCGAGAGACTCGACCCGTTGACGTTCGCGTACTTCCAATCGATGCCCCTTCCCCCGACCGGTCGATTGCCGAAACCGCATTGCAACGTGCTTATGGCACAATTGCGGGATTACTTGCACACTGCAGTACCAGCTTCGTTGATGGACGCCAGGGTAGGGGTTGTCAACCTTCACGACTACCTTGCGAAGATTGACCGCGAGTTCAAGACACAACGGTCTGAGGAAACCCGAGGAGGAGCTACGTACCGTTCGCTGAAGCCAAGGGCTACGGCGCCTGTCACTTCGCCGCGCCCACTTCCGAGGTCCTCAGCGACCAGCAGGGTTGTCCCTTTCAGCAAGGTCACTCTTGGTCCTTAACCACAGGCCATTTTAAGATCTCTTCCTTTGCGAAAATTTCACAGTAATCTCGGTCGGAATGAGAAGTGGTTGGTGGCGAAGGGAGACCATTGCGCCATCAAATACCGGTTCTTGTACATAATTGAGTTCGTTATCCTCATTCGTTCCGACTTTTATCTCCCGAGCCGGCTTGGAGGTGCGAGCCTCTTGTTGCTCGGTTTGACCAAGTGCTTTTCCATGCGCATTGAACGTTAGCTTTCATTTGGCAGAGAGCAAGGAGCCAATCAGGGCTCTTTTCAATGACTTCTCGAAAACGACATTTCCCGAAAATGATTTGCTGTCCAGTCCACAAGGCTCGGAGCGGCGAGCTAATCAAGGCTCTTTTCAATATTTTCTCGAAAATGATATTTCCCAAAAATAATTAGCTGTCCAGTTCACAAGACTCCGAGCGGCGAGCCAATCAAGGCTCTTTTCAATGATTTCTCAAAAATGATGTTTCCGGAAAATGATCTGCTGGCCAATTCCCAAGGCTCAGAGCAGTGAGCCAATCAAGGGTCTTTTCAATAATTTCTCGAAAATGGTATTTCCCGAAAATGATCTGCTGGCCAGTTCGCAAGGCTCAGAGCAGTGAGNCCCGAAAATGATCTGCTGGCCAGTTCGCAAGGCTCAGAGCAGTGAGCCAATCAAGGCTCTTTTCAATAATTTCTCAAAAATGATATTCCCGAAAATGATATTCTGGCCAGTTCCCAAGGCTCAGAGCAGTGAGCCAATCAAGGTTCTTTTCAACGATTTTTCGAAAATGATACTTCCTTGGAAATGATTTGAGCAGCTAGCCAATTAAGGCTCTTTTCAATGTTTTCTCCAAAATGATACCTTCCTGAAAATGAGTTGAGCAGCGAGCCAATCAAGGCTCTTTCCAGCAATTTCTCGAAAATGATGTTTCCTCTAAGATGATTTGSTGGKYAGCTCGCAAGGCTCAGAGCAGCGAGGAGATCTCCCAGGTCTTCTAACAGCTCACCATCGTCCTTCGGGATCCTGCTCTACCACTCTCGTTGCCCTCTCTTATT